AAAATCCTAATAAAGATATATGCCCCAGGTGCTTTTCTCTTTGTCTGCACCCTATTTCACCTCCCCAAGTGGTCCCTCAAGGAGTGAAGTACATATCCTTCAGGACCTGTGAGTAATCAACTATTTCACTTTCCCTTGTGGCCATTTGTTGAATTAGGACACGCCATCAGACACCTCTGGGGTCTACTTAACAAATGTTATTTCAACAAAGCACCAACACTTCTAAATTAGTATCTTAATATTTTTCTCTTCACTAAGATATGGACAAACCTTGTACGTTTTTGGAATCGATCCTATCTCCTCTCTTAAGAGAGTCATATAATGCTAGCCTCTGAAATGTTTTCCATCTCTAATAGTATATCTCTTTCACTAACACCACCATAAAATAACATTGTTCTCTTTACTTCAAAGCCAGTTTGCTGTCCCAGTGGCCTAGCTGGCCCGAAGTGTTCTTCCCTTTCCAAACCATTTTTCTTTCTTTCTTTTTTTAAATTTTATTTTTTATTTTTTAAAATTTACATCCAATATTTTTTTAAATTTACATTGTTTACAGTGAAACAATGATTTCAGGAGTAGATTCCTTAATGCCCCTTACCCATTTAGCCCACCTCCCTCCCACAAACCCTCCAGCAACCCTCAGTTTGCTCTCTATATTTATGAGTCTCTTCTGTTTTGTCCCCCTCCCTGTTTTTATATTATTTTTGTTTCCCTTCCCTTATGTTCATCTGTTTTGTCTCTTAAAGCCCTCAGATGAGTGAAGTCATATGATTTTTGTTTTTCTCTAATTTCACTTAGCATAATACACTCTGGTTCCATTCACGTAGTTGAAAAGTTTTGATTTCCAAGTAATACTCCACTGTGTGTATGTATATATATATATATATATATATATATATATATATATATACATACACATAGACACACACACACACACACACACACACACACACACACACACACACACCACATCTTCTTTATCCATTCATCCATCCATGGACATTTGGGCTCTTTTCATACTTTGGCTATTGTTGATAGTGCTGCTATAAACATGGGAGTGCATGTGTCCCTTCGAAACAGCACACCTGTATCCTGTGGATAAATGCCTAGTAGTGCAATTGCTGGGTCATAGGGTAGTTCTATTTTTAGTTTTTGGAAGAACCTCCATACTATTTTCCAGAGTGGCTGCACCAGCTTGCATTGACACCAACAATGCAAAAGAGATCCTCTTTCTCTGCATCCTCGCCAACATCTGTTGTTGCCTGAGTTGTTCACGTTAGCCATTCTGACAGGTGTAAGGTGGTATCTCATGGTGGTTCTGATTTGTATTTTCCTGATGATGAGTGATGGTGAGTATTTTTTCATGTGTTGGTTGGCCATCTGGATGTCTTCTGTGGAGAAGTGTCTATTCATATCTTTTACCCATTTCTTCACTGGATTAGTTGCTTTTTGGGTGTTGAGTTTGAGAAGTTCTTTATAGATTTTCGATACTAACCTTTTATCTGATATGTCATTTGCAAATATCTTCTCCCATTCTGTCGGTTGCCTTTTAGTTTTGCTGGCGGTTTCCTTCGCTGTGCAGAAGCTTTTTATTTTGATGAGGTCCCAGTAGTTCACTTTTGCTTTTGTTTCCCTTGCCTCTGGAGACGTGTTGAGTAAGAAGTTGCTGCAGGCAAGATGAAAGTGGTTTTTGCCTGCTTTCTCCTCGAGGATTTTGATGGCTTCCTGTCTTCAATTGAGGTCTTTCATCCATTTTTAATTTATTTTTGTATATGGTATAAGAAAGTGATCCAGGTTCATTCTTCTGCATGTCGCTGTCCAGTTTTCCCAGCACCACTTGCTAAAGAGACTGTCTTTATTCCATTGGCTAGTCTTTCCTACTATGTCAAAGATTAGTTGGCCATATGTTTGTGGGTCCATTTCTGGGTTCTCTATTCTGTTTCATTGATCTGAGTGTCTGTTCTTGTGCCAATACCATACTGTCTGGATGATTACAGCTTTGTAATATAGCTTGAAATCTGGGATTCTGATGCCTCCTGCTTTGGTTTTCTATTTCAAGATCCCTTTGGCTATCTGGGGTCTTTTCCGGATCTATACAAATTTTAGGATTATTTGTTCTAGCTCTGTGAAGAATGCTGGTGTTACTTTGATAGGGATTGCATTGAAAATGTAGATTGCTTTGGGTAGTATCCACATTTTAACAATATTTGTTATTCCTATCCAGGAACATGGAATCTTTTTCCATTTTTTTGTGTCTTCTTAAATTTCTTCCCTAAGCTTTCTATAGTTTTCAGTGTATAGATCTTTCACCTCTTTGGTTAGATTTATTTCTAGGTATTTTATGGTTTTTTGTGCCACTGTAAATGGGATCGATTCCTTGATTTCTCTTTCTGTCACTTCGTTGTTGGTGTATAGGAATGCAACCGATTTCTGTGCATTGATTTTATATCCTGCAACTTTGCTGAATTCATGATTCAATACTAGCAGTTTTTTGGTGGAATCTTTTGGGTTTTCCATATACAGTATCATGTCATCTGTGAAGACTGAAAGTTTGACCTCCTCCTGGCCAATTGGATGCCTTTTATTTCTTTGTGTTGTCTGACTGCAGAGGATAAGACTTCAAATACTATGTTGAATAGCAGTGGTGAGAGTGGACATCCCTGTCTTGTTCCTGAACTTAGGGAGAAAGCTCTGTTTCTCCCCGTTGAGGATGATATTAGCGTTGGGTCATTCATACATGGCTTTTATCATCTCGAGGTATGCTCCTTCTATCCCTACTTTCTTCAGGGTTTTTATCAAGAAAGGATGCTGTATTTTGACAAATGCTTTATCTCTGGCTATTGAGAGGATCATATGGTTCTTGTCCTTTCTTTTATTGATGTGATGAATCATGTTAATTGTTTTGCGGATATTGAACCAGCCCTGCATCCCAGGTATAAATCCTGCTTGGTCATGGTGAGCAATTTTTTTAATGTATTGTTGGATCAGGTTGGCTAATATCTTGTTGAGGATTTTTGCATCCATGTTCATCAGGGAAATTGGTCTACAGTTCTCCTTTTTAGTGGGGTCTCTGCCTGGTTTTCAAATCAAGGTAATGCTGGCTTCATAGAGTTTGGAAGTTTTCCTTCCATTTCTATTTTTTGGAATAGTTTCAAGACAATAGGTGTTAACTCTTTCTTAAATGTTTGGTAGAATTCTCCTGGAAAGCCATCTGGCCCTGGACTCTTGTTTTTTTGGCAGATTTTTGATTACTAATTTGATTTCCTTACTGGTTATGGGTCTGTTCAAATTTTCTATTTCTTCCTGTTTCAGTTTTGGTAGTGTATATGTTTCTAGGAATTTGTCCATTTCTTCCAGATTACCCATTTTATTGGCATAGAATTCCTCATAATATTCTCTTATTATTATTTTTATTTCTGTTGTGTTGGTTGTGATCTCTCCTCTTTCATCCTTGATTTTATTTACTTGGGGCCTTTCCTTTTTCTTTTTGATCAAACTGGCTAGGGGTTTATCAATTTTGTTAATTCTTTCAAAGAACCAGCTTCTGGTTTCATTGATCTGTTCTACTGTTTTTTTGTTTGTTTGTTTGTTTTTGTTCTTTTTGTTTTTTTGGTTTTGATAGCATTAACTTCTGTTCTAATCTTTATTATTTCCTGTCTTCTGCTGGTTTTGGGTTTTAATTGCTGTTCTTTTTCCAGGTCCTTAAGGCATAAGGTTAGGTTATGTATCTGAGCTCTTTCTTCCTTCTTTAGGAAGGCCTGGATTGCTATGCAAACCATTTTTCAATACTGCGTAAATATCACTCTTAATCCATGTATTCTGTGATGATTAATTTTATGCTTCACCTTCGCTGGTCTGTGATATCCAGTTATTTGATTAAACACCGGGCTTCGAACTTGCCGTATTTTTTCCCCCATTTTTTAATGTGATGAACACTTAAATCAGTGGACTTTGAGAAAAGGAAATTACCCTACATAATGTGGGTGTACCTCCTTCAATGAGTTGGAGGACCTAAGAGCAAACTGAGGTCACCTGAAGAAGAAGCAATTCTTAGTCAAGCCTGAAACAGAAAACCTGCCTGACCTTGCAGCCTGCCTGCCACGGCTGGGGAAGATGGACCGAAGATTGCAATACCAACTCTTACCTGATTCTCTGCCCTGCTTGCTTGACCTATACATTTTTTACTTGCCAATCCCCACAATGGTGTCAGCCGATTCTTTAAAATCTCAATCTCTCTATCTTTCTGTCTTTGTCTGTCTCTCCATATGTGTGTATATCTATATATGTATGTGCGTGCCTATTTACATTACATTACATTATATTATGGTAGTGTCTGTTTTACTGAAGAATCCCAACCAAACACAAAGTGATTCCATAAAGATTTCTTCCTTGATATACCTCATTGTCTCTACAGCTTTGCTGTTGTTGACTCATTCTCTAACGCCCTCTTAAGTCCCTGCTACTCACCCTTCAGAGAATTCAGTCACCCATTCTCCAGGTAATCTGTCCTACCCTTCTAATTCTCCATTATCTCAATTTCCTTTGAATTTCTACTAAGAAGATAGGATGTTTAACAACGTTCCAATAAAGCTTTAGATCACTGGAAGGAAGAATAATAGGACTGATTTTCTTCTACATATGAGGAAGGTTGCTATCATCTGGTAGACTGAAGAAAAGCATGTTACATTGTTAAAATAATGTACTCATTAACATTTTATCAGAAATGTACTGTAATTTTTTGTTTGATAAGAAATATACATAAGGTTGTTCACTTATGAAAGAGCAAGCAGCCTTCACGTGAAGTATTAGAACCTTATGAATGGTAATAGCTATAGAAATCTAGAAAGTAAATTATGTAAAGTTAATTCAGAGCTAATACAAGAAAATTCTTACAGGTATATGCAACACACCTTTGTATATATATTGTGAATGTAAAGTATCTATTCATTTAAGAGGGAATGACTAAAGAGTGATCATGAAACTCTCCTTAATCATAAACTTACCTGGGTCTTCCTCATCAATTTGGGGGGATAGTTCTGATACTGATTTCTGAAAGGAGGGTACTCGAATGTCATGTTGATCTGGTTCTTCCTGAGATTCATCCTCTTGTCTTCTTTTAACAGAAAATGAGATTGCACCTACAACACATCAGTACAAGATGCTATATTAACTAGGGATTTGTTTTCTAAAAGGAAAGGTCAATTTTAGGTATTAAACATGCTTTAGTGTGAAACTAATAAGGAACTAAACACAAATTGTAGGTGTTAGTATCAGATTTAAACCTGATGGTGGTACAGAACAATTTAATGGAAAATCCATTAATATTTATTTTAAGTATAAGTGATGGTCAGTTTTTATTTACAAAGTAGTGTCATACGTAGGTTCACAACTGGGGCTGTTACCAGCTGTGTCCCTTAGTTTGCCCAAATGTGAACTGGACGTGACACTGGTGGCAGCTGGTGACACTGGATAGTACAAAATGTCCCTGGTATTACACTGACTCCATCTGGGGCTCCGGGAGTGCTTCCAACAGTTTACGCATCTCTGAGTGGGCAGGATTGGCCCCAGACTGTGGCTGAGATGGGCTAGAGCCAGGTCACAGACTGCTTCAGAATCTGCAGTGGGCTTGAGGTTGGCAGGCCTGACCACAGAATATGTATGGGCGTGTCACCCTCTGGGTCCCTGGGCAGACAGGACTGCTTCCAGACAGCAGCTATGAGGGGCTGAACCTGGATTATAGGGCTGCTCCCAGATGTGCAGACAGACCCCGGTCTATGAGCCTAATTCTGGGGCATGCACAAGCACATCTCCCCAGACGAGGGTTCCCGGACCATGGCTGAGAGTGGCTGGCCAAGTTATAAGGCCATTTCAAGATCTGCAGTTGGACCAAGGCTGAAGGACCTGCCTCAGGGACACAGACAGGTGTGTCTTCTGGCAGGTCCCTAGGGGTGCAGACATCATGGCTGAGAGGGGCTGTGAGACAGATGTGAAGTGGAATCTCCTTGTAGTTTTTGGTTTGTAATTCCCTGTTGCTGAATGATGTGGAACAACTTTTCATGTGTCTGTTTGCCATCTGGATGTCTTCTTTGGAGAAATGTCTGTTCACATCTACTGCCCATTTTTAAATTGGATTAGTTTCTAGCTATTGAGTTGTAGAAGTTCTTTATATATCTTGGATACTAACCCTTTATTGGATATGTCATTATTGTTTTTGGTACCATTGTAAATAGGACTGTTTTGTTAATTTTTCTTTCTGCTGCTTCATTATTAGCATATAGGAATGCAATAGATACCATACATAGATTTGAATCCTGCAAAATTAACATTTACAGAATTCATTCATCAGTTCTATTACTTTTCTGGTAGAGCCATTCGTTAGGGTTTTCTACATAGAGCATCATGTCATCTGCAAATTGCCAGAGTTTTACTTCTTCTTTACCAAATTGGATGCCATTTCTTTCTTTTATTTTTTGAAATTATTTATTAATGTTTATTTATTTTTGAGAGCGAGATGGAAAGAATATGAATGGAGAAGGGGTAGAGAGAGAGGGAAACACAGAATCCAAAGCAGGCTCTAGGGTCTAAGCTATCAGCACAGAGCCCGATGCAGGGCTCAAACTCACGAACTGTGAGATCATGAGCTGAGCTGAAGTTGGACCCTAACCCAATGAGCCACCAAGGTATCCCTGGATGCCATTTATATCTTTATGTTGTCTAACTGCTGTGGCTAGGAGTCTAGTACTATGTTGAAGAAAAGTGGTGAGAGTAGATATCCCTGTCTCACTTCTGATCTTAGAGGAAAAGCTGTTTTTCACCTTTGAGTATGATATATTATTTCCATTTTAGAGAAGGTAAACTGATACAAGATAGTTCAGTAGCTTTCCCAAAGTCAGTCGGCTCAGTATAATATAGGCAGAATATGTAGATGTGCATTCTGGTTCTAAGTCCATACTTTTTTAAAACTCAATTAAAACATTTAATTTTTTGAACACTTTTATGTTTACAGGAAAATGAGTGGAAAGTACAGGGTTCCCATATATCCCCCCTTACATTGCCTACTATAAACATCTTGAATTTTTGTGATATATTACTTAAATGTTGAGCCAGTAATGATATACTATTATTAAGTAAAGTCCATAGAGTGCATTCTGGCTAATTTTTTGTGTTATACATTCTATGGCTTTGGCAAATATGTAATTTCACGTACCTACCATTACAGTATCATGTAGAATAGTTTCACTGCCCTAAAAATCCCGTGTACAATACTCATTCATCCCTTCCACCCAACCTATAAAGAACTGTCAACCACTGATCTTTTACCTCTTCTAGAATGTCATATAGTTAGAATCATACAATATGTAGCCTTCTTAGATTTACCTCTTTTACTTAGCAATATACATTTACGTTTCCCCCATATTCTTTGTGGTCTGATAGGTTACTGTTTTTATCACTGATAAATAACCCAATGTATAGATATACCACTCTTTAACCATTTGTCTATTATATGACATTGTAGTTTTCCCCATAATTTGGCAACTATGAATAAAGCTGTTATTATTAACATTTACCAGCAGATATTTGGATGGGCATAAACTTTCAATTCATTTGGGGAAATACAAAGATGTATGATTGTTATATCATGTTATGAGTATGTTTACTTTTCTCATTTTTTCTTTTTTTGTATTTGTGTGTTTATTGACTTACTTATATATTTTAGGAGAGTGACAAAGAGAATACCTGAGTAGGGGAGAGGGGAAGAGGAGAGAGAGAGAGAGAAAGGATCCAAAGCAGGCTCTACACTCAGCATGGAATCTGATGTGGGGCTCAATCCCACAACCCTGGGATCACGACCTGAGCTGAAGTCAAGAGTTGGATACCAATCCAACTGAGCCACACAGGTGCCCCAATACCTCTTAATGGACAGAACAACTAGACAGAATACCAATAAAGACACATAGGAGATGACCATCACTTAGAACCACTAGACCTAACTGGCTCATATAGAACATCCACCCATCAACAATGGAGTATCCAACTTCTTAAATCAACTTTGGACACTGTCCAGAATGGATCACATGTGACGCCACAAGGCATATCTTAAAAACTGAAAAAGATTTAAATCATAGAAAGCATGTTGCCTCATCACAATGGCATGAAATTATAATCAGTAACATAAGGAAAAAAGGAATGTCACAAATTTGGACACTAAACAACATACTTTTAACCAATATTTCAAAAAAAAACTTAGAAAAAAATAGAAGTCTGAAACTATGTAGATGATTGACAATGAGAACACAGCATACGAAACTGGTGTGATGCAGTGAAAGCAACACTAAGAGGGCAACTCATAGCAGCAAAAGCATATGTTAAAAAGAACAACCTAAAATCAACAACCTAACTGCAAACAATACAGAACTAGAAAAAGAAAAGCAAATTCAACCCAAAACTAGCACAAGAAAGGAAATGATAAAGATCAGAGTAGAGGTCAATAAAACAGAGAAGAGAAAAGCAAAAACCAGAAAGTTTCTCTCTTTGAAAAGGTCAACATCACTGGCAGAATTTTCAAGTGATTAAGAAAAAAGAAATGAAGACTCCAATTAATAAGTTCAGGAAAAAAGTGGGGACATTACATTGTTTTCTCCAAAATAAAAAGCTTTATAAGAGATTACAATGAACCATCATATGCCCCCCAAATTGGGTAACTTAGATGATATGGACAACATCCGAGAAACACACAATCTACTAAAAATGCTCATGAATAAAAGAAAAAGAGAATAGACATAAATCTAACAAGGGCATTGAATTCGTAACAAAAACTCTTCCCACAAAGACAAGCCCAGGACGAGATGGCTTCATTGTTGAATTCTACCAAATACTTAAAGAAGAATCACTATCTTCTTTTTCTCAGAAACTCAAAAATTGATAGAGGAGGGAAAACATAGCCTCATTCTAGGAGGCTAGCACTGCCGTGATACAAAAGCAGACAAAGATAGGGCAAGAAAAGAAAATTAAAATCCAATATCCCTGATGAACACTGATACAAAACTTTTCAACTAAATAGTAGCAAATCGAATTCAGCAGCATACCAAAAAGATTCTATACCATAGTTAAATGGTTTTTATTTCAACAAAGAATGAAGGAATGAATGAATGGTGGTTCAACATACAAAAATCAGTGAGTGTACTGTAGCACATTGACAGAATGAAAAAAAAACCACATGATAATCTTGATTGATGGATAAAAGTGTTTGACAAAATTCCACATCAAAACGTTCATGGCAAAAATAAATTAGGAATAGAACTTTCTCAAAATGATAATAGCCATATGTGAAAACAAACAGCTAATATTATACTCCCAGTGGTAAAAGACTGAAATTTTTTCCTTTAAGATTAGAAACAAGATAAGGATGTCTCTGGTTTAGGCTTCTACTCAACATAATACTGGAATTTCTAGTCAGAGCAAGTGTGCAAGGAAACGTAGCAAAGGTATCCATATTGGAAAGGAAGAAGTAAAATTATCTGTTTGCAGATGACACAATCTCATATGGAGAAAACCTTAATGATCATGGACACAAAAAGGATAGACCTAATAATAAATGCGTTCACGAAATATGCAGGATACAAAGTCAACAAACAAAAGCAGTTAAATTTCTAAACACTTGTATTGAAAAATTTTAAATGGACCTAAGTAAAACAATTCAGTCAGATGAAACCATGATTTGGATAAATTTACATAATGTTAAACAACGTGCGCAAGGAATAATAAGGAAACCTAATCAATATTTCAAGTACGATGAACTAGTCTCAAGATTTAAAAGCACACATTCTCCATTCTTTCTCATTTCAGCCCACTTGTATACTCAGCACATTTCTTCTTTCTCCAATACACCCATCCAAACGTTATTACACTTTTATTGTCCCTTAACAAAGAGAAATGGAACACTCATTTGTAAAACAATTCAAAAGCCCTACAGGAGTGTAACAAGACCATATGTTAGATACCAACAAGAGAAATTAAGTATTTATCTTAAAACTTAGAAATAAGTGAAGAGAACTATGGAATTATAGGTCTATTTAGTAGCTTATCTTTTAATTGAAAGAACACTTTGAAACAATGTTTCTTAGAATTATGCCACTAA